CGGCCCCCAGACTACAGAGATCTGCTCTCCTGGAGATCTCTGTAGTCTGGGGGCCGGTTACAGCCACTGTTCCCTCTAAGCTGAGTTAGTGTGAGCTAGCTCACAGTTTTTAAGACTCCGGCTCACACCTTTTTGTCTCAGCTCAGGAAGGCTCCTGCGGTGGAAGGTGGACTCTCTGTAGGGTTGGCGACCTCTGGGTGGTGGGCTGGAGATCTCCTGGGACTGCAGCTGGTCGGCAGGCAACAGAGATCAGTTCACCAGGAGGAAATCAGCGCTTCGGAAGGTGGACTCTGGCGTTATAGCCCCTTATGCTGCCCTCCTCGAACTCCACCCCCCAAATTTCCAGGTATTTCCCACACAGAAGCTGGCAACCCTAATCTGTGGCATTATACCTCCACTGAGGTCCCTTCGCAAACCCCGCCCTCCCCAAATCTCCGTATTCAGAGGCACTCAGCCTCTGAATCCCAGAGCCAGGAGGCAACATCAGGGGAAGGCCTCAGTCTCTATGGCCTGTCGTTGGCCCTCCAGAGGAACCATTTGGCCACTCTGTGAGACAGGATGCTGGACTAGATGGACTATTGGACTGATCCAGCAGGGCTCCTCTGATGTTCTTAGGAAGGCCTCGGCCTCTGTGCCCTGTTTTTGGCCCTCCAGAGGAACTGGTTGGCCGCTGTGAGAGACAGGATGCTGGACTAGATGGACTATTGGTCTGATCCAGCAGGGCTCCTCTGATGTTCTTAGGAAGGCCTCGGCCTCTGTGCCCGGTTGTTGGCCCTCCAGAGGAACTGGTTGGCCACTGCGTGAGACAGGATGCTGGACGAGATGGACCACTGGTCTGATCCAGCAGGGCTCTTCTTATGTTCTTATGAAGGCGTCGACCACTATGCCTTGTTTTTGGCTCTCCAGAGGAACTGGTTGGCCTCTGTGAGAGACAGGATGGACTATTGGACTAGATGGACTATTGGACTGATCCAACAGGGCTCCTCTGATGTTCTTGGGAAGGCCTTGGCCTCCATGCCCTGTTGTTGGCTCCCCAAAGGAAGTGGTCGGCCCCTGTGTGAGACAGGATGCTGGACTAGAAGGACCACTGGTCTCATCCAGCAGGGCTCTTCTGCTGTTCCTATGAATGCCTTGGCCTCCATGCCCTGTTGCTGGTCCGCCAGAGAAACTGGTCGGCCACAGTGTGGGACAGGGTGCTGGACTGCATGGCCGCTGAGTCTGAGCCAGCAGAACTCTTCTCCTGTTCTTAGGCCTATGAGAGAATTGAAGCCAGGATCTCAGGGCTAGATGCCAAAGATATGTGGGGAAGCAGAGGGGATGGGTGTTCCACCCTGGCCTTCAGACTGGATCCTCCAGCTCTTTCCTCAGAGGTGGTGAACTTTACCCTAGTTCCAGCGTGGGCGAGCCGTTTGGTGTGACGTGACCGAACTTGTACTGAAGCCGTCCTCAACTATGACGAGGCAGTGGCTGGGCAAAGGTCTTGCGGGTAACCCAGCCTCAGAGTGCCGGACCACCCGGGAAAAGGAATCCGGAAGGGCGGCCACGTTCGTCTGTTGCACCAAGATTCAACGGGCTCCAGGGGCATCGTGAAAACTAATAAAAGATACTCCAGCATGATCTTTGTTGAAGCCAGAGGTCTCTCCAGGGCACCTGACAAAGGGAACTCTGGCTCACGAAAGCCCCCGCTGGGATAAATGTTATTAGTTCTTGTTAAGTTTTCGAGGTGCTGCTGGAGTTCCGCTTAACTTCTGCTTCTGCTTGTGCCGCTTGCTTTGTAGTGGCGGAGAGAGGGGTCGCTTCTTCTGCGCAACCTGGTCCCTGCTCAGGGATGCCAGCCTCCAGGCGGGGCCTGGGGATCCCCTGGAATCACAGCTCATCTCCAGACTACAGAGATCAGTTCCCCCTGGAGAAAAGGGAAGCTTTACAGGGTGGACTCCAAGGCATTGAGCCCCACTGAGGTCCCTGTCCTCCCTAGGCTCCACCCCCAAATCTCCAGGAGTTTCCCAACCTGGATCTGGCACCCCTAACCACCCACACCCCACCAGTGCCAGTGGGGGGATTTGGGGGGGGGCGTTTTGGGTTGTCCCCAATGTGATGACATCATCTGGAAGTGACGTCATCACGTCGGGGACGTCGTGCGGCGACACCATGATTTGGGGGCAAAGGTAAAGGTGAAGGTTCCCCTTGCTCGAAAACCAGGCGAATCCGACTCTAGGGTTGCGGTGCTCATCTCCGTTTCCAAGCTGAAGAGCCAGCGCTGTCCGAAGACGTCTCAGTGGTCATGTGGCCGGCATGACTAAACACCAAGGCGTACGGAACGCTGTTACCTTCCCACCGAAGTGGTCCCTATTGATCTACTTGTAATTTCTTGCTTTCGAACTGCTAGGTTGGCAGGAGCTGGAACTAGAGACGGGAGCTGACTCCGTCATGCGGCACACTCGGGTCTCGAACTGCTGAACTACTGACCTTCCACAGCCTGCAGGTCAGCATCTTAACCACTTGAGCCACTGCTCTCTATGGTAAAACCGGCTTCAAACGATAGAGTTTTGCCCTCAGACCAGGGGGTCGCTGCACGACGTCCCCGACGTGATGACGTCACTTCCGGGTAACATCAACATGTCGGAGACATCGTGCAGCAATGTCGCTGTTCGGGGCAGGGTTTCCCCCACCAGCCGGCCCCGAAAACTGGGGGACCCCCCACCAGGACTGGCAACCCTTTCTTGACTACTTTCGCCTTATCCGCGGAAGCCCTCAAATTGACATGGTTCCCGGCTAGGGATTCTTCAATTCGCGCTAGGTGAACGAGAACGGGTGAAAGAGGAGGGAGGGTATGAAGGGAGGCGCTTGGAAAAGCCGTGACTAGGGGCAGGCAGTGAAGGGAAAAGGCATTGCAATGGAACTGGGCTTGTCTACCAAGGAGACAGGGTGATCCTGTTTAATCAAGTTGGGGGAGGCTTACGCAAGGGTAAGGAAAGCAAGGGTGTCGGGAGAGCCGACAGCTGAGAGCTGTGCTGTGTGTTCAGAAAGGTTCGTTTGCACGAGCTCCGTCGCCAGCCTCCAGGTGGGACCTGGCGATCCCCTAGAATTACAGCTCTGTAGTCTGTACAGGCGGAGCTGCGGTGGCTCAAGTGGTTAAGACACTGAACTGCAGGCTGTGGAAGGTCGGTAGTTCAGCAGTTCAAGACCCGAGTGTGCCGCATGACGGAGTGAGCTCCCGTCTCTAGTTCCAGCTCCTGCCAACCTAGCAGTTCGAAAGCAAGGAATTGCAAGTAGATAAATAGGTACCACTTTGGTGGGAAGGTAACAGCGTTCCGTGCGCCTTGGTGTTTAGTCATGCCGGCCACATGACCACGGAAACGTCTTCAGACAGCGCTGGCTCTTCGGCTTGGAAACTGAGATGAGCACCGCAACCCTAGAGTTG